GACGTAGAATGCTTTGGAGCTTAGATTTTTATCTGTTGAGAGTAAAAAACAACAACAACAAGACAAATCAACTGAGGAACTACCAGATTATTAAACATGGTCAGATAAGCACTGAGAGAGGGAGGGTGAGGTTTAGTCTCAAAGAAATAACTTATCAAGTCACCTGCTCAGGTGAGCTGTAATCATTACTTCTATTACTTCTTCAGCATTTACTAGAGACTAATTTTTTGTATATGTTTCCTCATTAAATACATCACAATTCTATGAAGTAGATACTCTGTTACTTCCATTCTATAGATGATGAAACTGAGGCTAACCGTGGGGGTGTTAAGTAACTGCCAAAATCACAGGCAGCCCAGAATGAGGTTATCGCAAGGTGGTCTGAGTCAGAGCCTGGCCTTCTGTCCTCTGACCTGTGTGTGTGTGAGGCTCTCCTTGGAGCGTGCTTTATCTCCGTAGATGGTGGAGGAGTCATCCCTCCCTGTGCTGCAGAGGCCCAGCTGGCACTGCCCACCCGGAGTGCCCTTCAGGGTCTGCATGCTGTGCCAGCCACCTCCTTGTGTAAGGTGCCCTTGGTGCTCTGGGCATCCGATGTGGGACAGAGGCAGCAGAGTGACAAGGGGACCCAACTGAAGCTCAGATGCGATTCAGTGCAGCATGACGAGCAGTTACTGAAGAGCTGCTGTATTCTGGTCTCCATCATCGATGCCAAGGATACAAGGATCAACAAGAAACGGTTTTGCTAGGAAACACCTCCGCAGACAGAGATGAGATAGGCACTGTGGACACTGCTCACTGCTGTCTCCTGGCACCCAAAAGAATGTCTGGTGACAGTAATGATCCCACAGATGGTTGCAATACTGAATGAGAAGGTGCAGCCAGAGAGCGGAGAGAGTCCTGGTCAAGGCCCAGGTACCTGAGGGTAGCCTGCCATTGGCGGAGGCCGGGAGTAGCTTGGCATAGGGAGCTGTGAGCGCAGTATTGGCGGAGCAGACATTGATGGGTGATGAGGGCATTGGAGGGGGTTTGCAAGGAGGGCAAAAATCATTCCATATACATAGCTCGTCAATCCATATTCTCTTCGGCTCTCACCAAAGAACGAGATGACAGCTCCCCTTCTTCTCTCTCACTCTGTTAGCTCCCTGCATGACACCCCTTTTCTTTGTCTGTCATGCCCATTGGAAGCTGCCTTTATCTTAAGAAAATAGAGGCGGAGGAGAGCACCTCAGAGCCCAGCCTGTCCCACCAGGCTGGGAGAGGTCACCATTTCTTACGCAGCTCCCTCTGCTTAGCTGGCGTCCTCAGGTGACCGTGAAATGCTCAGACGAGGTCAGGCACACTGCAGTGCACGCTCTCCCGAGGACTGTGTGGCTCTGTGCCACGCCGCTGGTGCTTCCTTGCCTTTGCCTTTGGGCATGCTGGTGCTGTGGGCATGGTCCAGTTTGGGCTTGGGAAAGTGGAAATAGTGGCAGCTGGCACTGTGCCGCTTTCTCCGCTTCTTCCTTTGCCGACTGGTGTGTATGGAAGAACATTGAGCTTGGGCCTAGACTGACCCCTGGATCTGGTCCCAGTTCTGCCTTCATCACTACAGTCACCTTCAGCAGGTTCTCTCTCCTCCCTGAGCTAAATGAAAGGGTGGGACACACGGTCCCTTGTTGCTTCCTTTGCTCCTAGGTAGTATAAGGAGATAGAGACTTCACGATGCACTAAGGACAGTGATCCTACTGTATTATTTTGGGGGGACTCTTTCTCCAACTTGATATGAGTAGGGCCTCAGACTGTGTAGATCCTTCAGGATTTATCAAGTGTCATATTTGACAAGGGGGGCATTTTAAAGGATGTCCTAATATAATTGCCACTTTTCCCTGATTGTGGCATTTTAAAAGCTACATTTGTTTTATAGCCTGAACCACAGAAATGAAAAGCTTCCTGAAGAATCAGTAGCACCCCCAGCTGCAGGTGGCCCATTTCTCTGACTTGTTCCCGGACTTGTGTTCATGGGCAGATTTCCGGGCCTTGTTTGCCGTGTCCTTTTCATGCACACGTGTCCTGTCTGCCTCGATCAGAGTCACTGCCCCAGGGGCGCGCTCAGATCCAAAGGGACCTTCGGTTCCCCTTCTCACTCTGCACACGAGGAAACGGGAGCCTGGCAGGCTGCAGGACGTGCCCACGTCCTGTACGTGGGCCCAGCACCCGGGAGGGATGCCCTGCCCCATGCTCTGCCCCACTGCTGCCCTGCAGGCAGGCCATGGTGTTCCTAAGGTCCCGCTGCTTTTCCGTGAGGACATCTCGACTGACTGGCACTTGCTGAGATCTTAAAACCACCTGTTTATGAAGCAGAGAAACTCGTGGAAAAGTGTGATGTCTTTCTCCCAGGATGACACAGTCTAGCTCTGGCCGGAAATAGATCCTTGGGTTTCTTTTCCCACTTATTCTCACATCTGGTCATTGCTACGGTGAACTTAAATGAACCAGCTCATAGTTGAGATTTCTTTTCTTTTTTTTTTTTTTTTTGGTAAGCAGTGCAGTACAAGTCTTAATACGTTAATTTTCCTGTTTTGAATTTTACAACAGTGCCTCCATTTGTCAAGGTCAGAACTGTCTGTCTCTCAGTGTTCCTTCCTCCCCGGGCCTTGTCTGGTGGGTAGAGCAGGGATGGGTCCGGCAGACACCCAGGTCCCTGTGCCTGGAGCCCTTCAGGCTGCTCCGTCTAGCTGTCGCCTAGGTAACCGACATGCAGCCCGCAAAGCAGTCTGTCCGCAGTGAGAAGAAATAAAAAAATGAAACGGCAGTGTTTATTATTGATGCTCTACACATTTTTTGAATGTGACCGGATTTCGAAAAGGGGTGGTTTCACTGCTCTGCTGGGTGTTGGCCTCTGTGCCCAGCGTGTGGCCCGAATGTTTCCGGAATTGCATGTGTCTGTTTTCACAGCGGGCACTTCCACGAGACCTCGGGTCTGTCGAATGCAGCTGAGTTCTCACTCCCCGGCGATTCCCAGGAGCCCCGCAGTTCATAAAAGTTTTATGCACAAGCGGGAAAGCAAACATATCCCACAACTTATTTGGTTGGGTTTTGTGGGTGTTCGTGTTTTTTAAAAAATGGCCCTTCCTGTGGGGGTGTTTTTCCGTTTGGTGCGCTCTATTTCCTTAGTAACTGTTACTCTGTTATGGGAGGGGCTTAATGACATTTTCAAGTGCAATATTGAATTAATTATTTCCTGGTTAGTCCTGCCCATCTTCCCGGGATAAATGGAACGCCTGTGTGTGAGTGTATGAGTGTGTGTGTGCGTGTGTGTGTGTGTGTGTGTGTGTGTGGCGACAGGATGACGGTAGCGTGCTTGGGTAGAGGGGGAGCCTATGAATGTGTGGCTGTGGCTCAGGATTAGTCTGTGACCTTGTGTCCTGGGTAAGTTGCCTCCTTCTTTATGCTTGATTTTCTGCATGTGGGTATTATTAGGCGTACAGGTACGTTGGTTTAGGGAACTACCTGAGATTCAGCACTAGCATGGGAAGAACAGTGGTTGTTGGGGCAGGATGTTCAAGGATTAGTGCCGACGCTCCTGCACACCGTGCCTTTTGTGGCTGTTACTTCACCTCTGTGGGGCTGGAGTTTTCTCCCTGAGGGTGGAAAGAATTTCAAGCCGTGACCTCTCCGGCCTTTCCTGGGCAGGACGTTCTGTGACGTGTCAGTGCCGTGGGGTCACCGCTCGTAAGCACCGTCTGCACTTGACCTAGATGGGCTGTAGGAGAAGTGCCTGCCGGTTCAGAGGCCGGAGTCAGCGCCACAGGGCAGCCTCTCAGCCCAGGAAACGCTGCTGGTCAGTTCACGGCTGGGGAGGGGGTGGGATGCTCTGTAGATGCTCTCTTTATCCACTCACCCCTTCCTTCAGTAAACGCGTATTGCCTGAGTGCCTGTCAGGTGTCTGACATGTCCTCGGTGCCGAGGGGAGATGGAGAGTCATCCCATCACTGTCCTTGTCCTCGTGGTGCTTAAGGCCTAGTGGGAGGATGGGCGCTAAGCAGTCACCACCCCTACAGGCAGCCACAACGATGGCACGTGCTGGTGACCAGCTCCGCATTGAGCCTGGGGACCACCTAGGAGGCATCTCTGAGGAGGCGCTGAGATGAGAAAGTGAGCGGCGGTTTGTGTCTCGCCCTCTGCCCTCTCATGTCACTCCGGACAAGGCCTGCAGCTGCCTCTTCCCAGAGCAGGAGCCACCTGAGAGTGGACGATGGGATGGGCAAGAGATGGAGGGACACGCGGATGAGGCATGCTTTGCCAGCTTCTCGGCCTTCTCTGCTCACTCTCGGTTGCCCAGACGGTTGGTCGTCTGACACTTTGTTCCTGAGTGTGGCTGGTTTCTGGCCCTGTTCGGCCTGGTTGGATCCCTCACTGAATAGAACGATGGCTCCAGGTTCTGGAGACCCTTGTACTATATTTCTTCCCAGAGCTCTCCCCAGCCTTCACGACGCTGGCTGGCTTTTTATGTTTTGGCCCCTGTGGTGGGTCTAGTAAATTCAGTGCTCTTACAGATCCTCAGGAAAGTGACCTATTTCTTTTTAATTTCAGAAAGAGGAGAGAGGCGAAGCACAGAGAGCGGCAGATCAGACCACAGCGAACTCCACTGGAGCGTCTGAGCCTGAGCCGTGGACGATGCTGGCTGCCGAGCTGCAGAGGAGGCCCCGGCTCTGAGGGGGAGAGCAGGTCTCACACACACAGCTTCCGCCCCTCCCGGGCTCACCATGGCCTGCACTCTCTGGCTGGCCGGCTGACGTGACTGTGCCCCGAGTGTGCGCGTGCTGGACTGGGTGCTGTCCCAGGTACCGCCTGCTCTCTGGGAGCAGGGCACGTGGGCATCAGATGCTACCCAAAGCTGGACCGGGCAAAGCAATGGACTCCGACAAGCGAAGATGGAAGTGACCTGAGGCCTCGCCCAGGCGGTTTCCTCTTGCCAGGACAGCTCAATAGTCGGAGCACAGGCTTGTCTGGGGAGCAGTATGCAGGAAGCTGGTTTTCAGGCCACAAATGCTTTCACAGGTGAGAATTCTCCACATTTAAATGAAAATGCTATTTCAACTCTTCGTTGATAGGCAATGCAATACCAAACAACTGTACAAAATGAATGTGCATTTGCTTTGATGATCTAAAAGGCCATACAGAGTCAAGGGGCTCAGGCTGCCAAGGTGAACGATTTTGACAAATAATAGCATATTTCCCTTCTCTCTAAAGAGGAATTTAGAAAAAAGCATTTTACATTTTATGAGTCTGCTCTTGTTGAGTAATAGAGCATACACACTACCTTGCAAGTCACATTTCTCTAAAGGACATCTGTCCCTTGCAGAGGAACGTATAGGGACCTGGTTTTCTTCGTGTTAGTTCTCAGAACTGGACACAGTACCGATAGCACTTGTGGGACAATGGTTTTAGTTTCCGAATATCTCAATGGCTTTATCTTCCCAATATGCTATTTCAACTCTTCGTTGATAGGCAAATGCAATACCAAACAACAGTACAAAATGAATGTACATTCTTGACTCCCTATGGCCTTTAGGTCATCAAATAGCATATTGGGAAATAACCAGGAGTAAAATAAGGGAGTTGTAAGTACCCGGCCTTCTCTGGAGGTGGGTCCCGGTGGACTCAGCTCATCATTTTTATTCGTTGCCTGCTCTTCTCATCTCTCTTTGCCCACACAGTCGGCAAAAGTTACCTAAGGGGTAGGATCAAGAGCTGTCCCTCTGTCGCTGCCCGAGCAGCTGGCTTTGTAAAACTGTGGGCTTACGGTAGATAGAGGTCAGTAGGAGGCTGGTGCCCACCCTCTTAGTTGGTGTGCTTTTCACATGTTCGTGGAGTATAGTCTTTTCTTATCCCAGGGCAACTCAAAATGCTAACGTCTTAGTTTTTGGAATTGAAGACAGACTGAGTTTGCTGATTCTCTAGGCTCATGGAAAGGAGCCCTGCTTTAGATATCTTCAATGGTGAAGGGGTTAAGGCATTTTTTCCTTGGCTTTTGTTTTAGGGCAAAACAAAAGTTACTGTACCGTTAACCATACCTCCCCTTGAAAAATGTGTCAATTTGTGTTTTGTTCCTGGAGAGTGTTCAAAATTTCTCTTTAATAAGGACTTGGGGGCTGCAGCCTGGCGGGGAGGGGAGGCCTGGGTGCAGCTGTGTTTGCCTGGCAAGCCTGGTGCCTCTTTGCAGTGCATGGCATTCCCATGGCGGGGGGTGGGAGCTTGCAAGGCTCCCCATGACACCGCTGGCCCACCCGTGTGGTTCGAACTCTCCTAAGTCTTGCTTCCTGTGTGAATGTAGACATACACACATGGATACATATTTCAAATTCAACTTCCCAATTACGATTTTCATAGGCTAAATGTTGCATAAAGAAATTTATATGTTGTTTTACATTTTCTCAGTGCATGTAATATAGAAATGACCTGAACCATGTAGATACTATTTTGTAACAAAAAATTAAATTTCCCCCCTTTATAAGTACTACCTGCTTATTGTAAGAAAAATTGGAAAGCACATAAAGGCCTAGAAAGGAAAAATAATTACCCATGCAGAATACTGCCATTTTCATTAACACGTTGGCTTGTGTCCTTTCATCCTTTCAGTATTTTTCCCTGTGCAACATTTTTCTCACAGGACTGTGTTCATAATGTGTATTCCATTTTAGAACCTGATCATTCTTTTTTTTTAAAATATAATTTAAAACTGCTTTATGATACCCTTTTATGCATGTGTACTTGAATTTTAAAATTGTGCTTTTATTGTTGGACATTGGAGTTTTTGACAGCTTTTCCCCTTATAAATAATGCTCCGATGAATACATTGTACCAAAAACTCTTCTGTCTATTGGGTTATTTCCTTAGGAGAAACTACTAGACACATAATTATTAAGTCTAAAGGTGTGAACTTTTTTAAGGGTTGTGGTTGAGTTTCCCAAGGGATGATCAGTCCTAGCTTCTGGGACTGCGCTGGGCTCAGTTTCTCCCAGTCGCGGGTTCGCCGCCCCTGCCGTTCCGCTGTGAGGGGGGCTGCCCGCTGCCCTGCGGGGTGTTGTGAGCTCACTCACGCTCGGGGAGCCCTGCAGCACGCTGCTGTGGGCCACCCGGGCCCCACCGTTAGGACCATGATGCTGGCATTTCATCGGGTGAAGAAAAGCTCCATCCGCCTCGGTTTACTGTGTTTGCTCACCCAGGCGGTTTTTCTGCGTGGCTGTAGTTCCCAGAGGCAACCATGGACAGACAGACTCCAGCGCGGTCAGACTCTGGTAGAAACAACCCCCTAGGTGCCTCCGGGCGAATAGAAATGGGCATCCTCCCAGGATGCACCTGTCAGGCCTCCGCTGAGGCGTCCGTCCCGATGGGGACGGAGGTTTCGTCTGAGGTTTGCTGTGCTCTGGGTGGCGCGGAGAGCACCGGCCGGGTCATCGCTCTGTACATCCTGAAGCAGGTGCTGGGCTGAGCTCCCGCCTCCTCCCTCCCCCAGTGTCGCTCTCAGACACTGTGAAGGTTTTGCAGTATTGTCTCAGGTTCTCTGAATCATTCCATTCGATGCTTGAAACAGCATTTTAAACTTGGAGAGCTAGGTAAATGAGTTACATTCCTATAGGACTTGCAAGTCTTTCTTGATAAAAGAATAACCAGACCTAGTTGTTTAGTTAAATGAACTCCTACCCTTCACTCATAAAGGAGAAGGGTAGGAGCTGATTGAACCGTTTTTAGGTATCTGAAAGAGAGCTAGTTTATAGGCGATGGTGACCAGGTCTGTTTAGCTATTGATGAGCAGAAAGGAAGCACTGCTTCCACTGAATTGTTGGGATGCCTGGTTTTCTCTCGGGATTCGTTCACCCTGGCAGGAGCGCTGGGACCCTTTCGGGGGGGATGTGGCCTTCACCAGAGGCGTGGCTGGAGCCGCACTGTTCCCAGGGCTCTGAAAGGCCTGGAGGATCCTGGGTCACCCCCTTCCCACCACCCGGACCTTCAGCTTATTACTCATCCCTTCAAGGCCGCGCCCATGTGCTGATCCGTGGATGACCTCCGCCCACACTCCGCAAAGCTGCCAGGAGGAGACAGTGAACGCTGTTTCTCGCTAAAAGGAATGAGGGAGGGGCGAGGGGGGGGTGGTTTTGGCCAAATTCCGGAAGAAGACATTGAAGTCGGTTCTTTACTGCAGAGCCTCGCAGAGGTTAGCATGAGACTGCCACGGAATAGTTGGCAGATAGGCAGATAGTTGGCAGCATTTCCCCAGTGACAAGACCTTGAAGGCTTTTTGGAAAGAAAACCGCGGAGGGACAGCTCTCCGCAGCATGTGCTGCTGGTCTGTGGCACTGCCGCTCCCAGTCCGCGGTGCAGGTGCCCTGTCCTGCCCGGCGGGAGCCGAGTCCCCTCCCAGGGCTGCGTCTCCTGAGCACGTGGACGGGGCTCCTGCCGGACAGATGTGAAGCGCCAAAGCTGGAAAGAATGCAATGAGGCACTCTGCCTTCCTGCCCTCCTTCTCGCCAGGTCAGCTGTAAATACGTTCTCTTGCCCCCAAACTTTCTGGGGTTTCTTCTTGCTTCCTAAGAAGAGTCTGGACTCCTCACCCTGGACTGAGAGCAGATGCCTCTCCCTGGTCCTGGCAGTCTAGATGCCGCCATGAGCTTCGCTGTTCACTGGTGCAGAGCAGGTGACCACGAGCGGTCGTGGAGTGGGGAGCGTGGTCCAGGGAGGCTGAGGACTTCTGCACAGCCCCCTGCCTGACTGCTCAGGGACAGCTCTGTCCATTTATAGTCCATCGACAGGGTTTCTGCCTCCTCATTCCATCACTCTACCTGCCTGTCCTCGGAGATGGCCCCGGGTGATGGCTTCTTCCCCAGGGGCCCCGAGGGCGGTGCGCGGTGCCGTCACCAGGTCCTGGGTGTTTGCCCCTGGGAGCCCGCGGTGGAGTCCCAGGGCTGCAGCTGCTCATCTCAGGACGCCGTGCAGATACGAAACCCGAGAAAGGATGCCAAGTGAACACGCGGGGCCTCTGGGTGAATGCTGCCCGACTCATTATGAAAACTTCACCAGCAACAGTGAACGTGGTAATTCGGGCACTCCCCCCGTTCCGCCGGCTGTGCATTTTCGGCTGTTTCCAGGGCTGGACGGCAGCTTCCCTTTGGCCCCAGAAGCAGGATGACCGTGCGTGGTCCACACACCTGCAGGCAGTTCCATCAGAAGTGAGAGGAGAAACCAGGCCGGTCTTACTCTCTATAAGCCTATTTTTTTTTCTTTTGTGATAACATTTCAGAAAATGAAGGGTGCTTTCCTTGCTCTTTGGGAATTATGCTAACACTGATTTCAGATTTGATATTTCACACAGCTGACATGAGGAATAAAGAGGAATTGTTTTCTATGCCAGGTCTTTGCACCTTCGCGGTCTCATTCGGTTCTTGCGACGGTGCCGGGAGCTGTGCGGGTTCTCCCAGGTGTATCGGGGAGGGACAGCTCAGGCCCGGAGAGGGCCTGCCTGAGGCCACAGCGACGAGTGGCCTCCGTGCCAGCGTGGAGACCCAGGTCTGTCTGTGATGGAGCTGCATCCCGCCGTCTCCTTCTGTGCTGCCTCCGCTTCCTTCAAGCACGTGGGAGAGAGGAGAATAACGGCTACTTCCTTCAGAACCCAGTGCAGGGCGAGAGGGACATGGGAGGGGGGTGTGGCACGGGGAGGGGAGAGATGGGAAATTGAAACTCTAAATTAAACTTGCAGATTCAGCATTTGTCAGAGCATGGTGTCTGTGCTCTGACTTGGTAAAGGCAGACTTTTACCTGCCTGTCTTTTCACAACCTCCCCAGAGGTTAGGCCATTCTGCTTTTAGAATTATTTCCTTGCCCTTCCGGAAGTGTGCCATCATAATTCCCAGACCACACGTGATTTTCTTGCATCTCCTTGTGTCAGATTATTTGAGTTTCTTCTTTCCTCACTTCTGCCTCCCGCCAGCGTCTGGCACCTGAGTCTCCTGGGACTCGGTCTCCATGTCCTCGCTTGTGCTTTGACTTCTAGCCGATGCAGG